ATTCCAAGGAAAGGCTTTTCACAGCTGCCACCCACCAATATAAAACAAGCCATTCTCCATGCGGGATCTGCAGCTAAATGCTGTGTGGGGAGGTAGTGGGCAGGTGCAGAGGGAAGGCTATTTGGGTGCTGGGTAGATAGTCAGAGGAGTTAGTTGCTGGTGTAGTTACATGCAGTGCTGAGCTGCACCTGCTGCAGTGTGTTTGGGTGGTACTGGAGGAGGCTGTGCTGCCCCAGGTGTGGAGCTGTGCCCTTCCCTAGGAACTGATGTGGTGGAGCCCAGGGCTCTGTGAGATCCACACTTTGGGTTCCTGGAGTTTGGATGTTCAGAAGTACCTTTAGTATTAAAAACTGAAAGTAGATTTAAAGAGTAAATAACATTCTTATACCAAATTCAATACATAGACAATTATTTTACTCTGATTGTTTTTCCATAATTGCATAGTCAAACATTTATGCAACTGTTTAACTCCAATGATAAAACACAAACACTAGGCCACACCCAGGTAGGTGCCCTGAATCTCCAGGGTTCTGTGGTCCTGGTAACACTGTAGCCCTCTCAAATAAAAGGGTTTTAAACAGCTGTGATACTTGAAAAATAGTTCAGTTCTCAGTACAAGGGAAATACGGTTTTGAGCAATGTATGATTGTCCTTAGCAGAAGTGAGAGTATGGATTCATTTTCCCTTTTTGAAACTGAGAATCAACAGAAGGATTTTTAGTCACATTAAAATACTTTGTCAAGAATTAGAGTTGCTCAGTCAATAAGACATGTGAGTATACAGAGTTGTAGTGTTGCAGAGGAAACTTACTACTCTTTCTTATAAAAGCTAGATTCTGTTTGGGGTTTTGGTTGGTTTTGTAGTTGGGTTTTTTCTGTGGTAAAATTATAATTTAAGGTGTTTTAACACTTCTCTGTCCTGTAAATTGAGAAAGTGAAACTAGCCAGCTCCTGATCAGTGTTTAGGAGCCTGTTCAGCTTTGTCAGGCATCTTTTAGAGAATGTATTTATAAATAGGTAAACAGAGGTTGTAAACACTAGAGAATAATGGTATGGAGTTACTTCAGTAGACTTTTGTTTTTATTTTTGCATTTAATAGCATTTTAGGCTTGATACAGAGCTTACTGAGGTCAGTGTGAGCTCTTACAC